GGGTAAGTACAGTAAAAGGAATATAAAAAGTAACATTTCATTAAAAAAGTACACAGTTTTGTCATCAACCTTCAACAATGTTACCGAGTCACATTACTCAAGCTTGGATATACAGTGGGCAGCACACTGATACCACCATAATCTCCCGAAGGAAACTCTGTGTTTTCATCGGAGCGGTTTCGGAGTACCGCGCGCAATACCATTATAATCGTACATAATACAGTCATAGCAAGTCTGCATGAACATTTGCAGTGTAGGTACAGGGCATACAGAGTGAAACCATGTAAGCGTACGTTGCATGCTCGCTAAACGTGATCTAATGTAACACCGCCTGGACATTGACCATAATACATAATATAATCTTCAAACTCCCATCATATATCAAATAAACTTTGCAAGATTAAGTTGTAAATAAATATATTTTACAGAAAGTATATACATGTACAAATGTGCACTTTGAGATGTTTTTAATTAATCACATATCAATAAATTTGATATTTCAAAAGTAAATTACAAAACAGTCAATCGAAACTGGGGATAAATGGGGCACGGCACAACTAGACTCGGTCTTTCGTGAAGTACTGTAGGCAAGTTGGCGATCACATCATAGCACTGAGCCAACGGGTATTACGTTCCCGTGCGTACAAAAGTTCGCAAGTTGGCATAGGTATCGCACGTCCGTGTGCTGCCCTCCATATACCCAAGCTTGATTGTTTTTGTGGGATTGGACAATGATATCAAGGATTTAAGAAATCAATCTAAATTTATATCAAAATTATTTTCCAGGAATTAAATGGAAACTACAATAATTGAAACATACAGACTTTCCCAAATTTAAAGCTTATAATATTACCAATGTTACTATGTAGACATAGTTAGCTATATTATCAAAGTCCCCTTTTTCATTTTATCATTAAAACAATGATCATTTATTTATTTAATTATTTTAATTAATTAGAACTAATTATCTTTATTTATTGGTTAATTTACTTGTCAAGTACATAATTACTTAATTAGCTTGATTATTATTATTATTATTATATTATTTTTTTAGGGGGGATGTATTCGCAGGGATATATATATTTTTTAAATGTTATGAAGGAGGCTTCAGATCCTTGGCATACGAAGATACATTAGACCTGGATCAAATCTGGCATAAGGTATTTTGTTTAAATACCAACATTCATGTCAAATAGATAAAAAGAACAGTTAAAAAAAAACATGTTCTGGGGAAAATTAAACTAACAAAAATAGACATAATGCTAATTAAAGTTAGTTCCATCAACATTGATACAATTTGCTCCTTTTTTTAGTGTATTTGTTTTAGTTTAGATCGCAGACCCGCATCACATTTCGGACAAAACCTGAATTCAAACTGATCCTTATACCATGAAATGTTCTTTTTGTTTTAGGAATTAAGGAATCAAAATTTGTGAAACCCTGCCGAAGACAGGTAAGAATGTTGTACAAATGGTATAATTTCATTTGAATGATACATTGATTGTGTTATTGTTCACCAAGTTACATAAAGGTTTAATTTTCTGAGACGGGCTGAGAAGATCCCCATACGTTTTTTAATTTAATTGATACACCATAATAGACAAAAAAATACTTTGTTACATAGTTGGTCTCAGTGAAGCTATGCATACGAATTTCAATACCGGTATGCTTAATGAACTTTTACACCCCTTGACATGAAAGGGAAAAAAAAGGAATTACTTTTGGTCGCCCCAAATGAATGATAGAATGAATGAATAAATAAATAAATGAATAGATAAATGAATAAAACGATTAATCGTTTGGCGCATCCTTACACAGGACCAAAGGTCAATAGAACAATCGGCTGCATACCCAGGACTCTCTCAATAATATGAACAAAGTATCAAACTATGCCATTCTGAGGGATGTACCCCGAAGAAAATAGTCACTATATAGGTTACTCACCGAAAAGAATCCTTAATTTACTGAATTTTTACAAAGAAAAGAGTGCATGCATATGTTTGATTTATAACCCTCATCCAATGATTAAAATGTATAAGTTATTTAACTAATAAACAAATTTATGTTTAAATAAAAAAATTCATATCCTTTCCAAGAATCTATCTACTGTACAATACTACGACCGCAGTACCATGCCCACTAACACATCTCAGCAATCTGTAAATACTGCAGTTGATACCTGATGATGACTTGGCATGTCTGAGAGGTTGAATGACAATTGCTCCAGCGTCAATTACTCCGGGTCCATTTCCTGCACTAACTGAATTCTTAACTTCAACCGTCACTAATCCTAATCATGCTTAACCTAACCTAAAACCGAATTGCAACCATAATTGTCGCAGGAGGAAATATAGAGTTACCTGTCAGAATGTATAAGCCTCTCGGTAATTTGAAAGATGTGCACGGGGGCAATGTACCCCTCCTGACAGATTTTTCGCTCAAGAAAACAATATTAAATGAACTTTTTTTTCTTCAATCAATGGTTGTACGATTGCACTCTGGAAACGCACGATACTGAAACATAATTGGGAAAAAATTCTTTCTTCCAAAAATATAGTCCGGCAGCCAAATCCAGATTATTGGCCTAACCTTGTTTTAGGGTCTATAGTTTTTTTTTCAATGGATATGATTGCCTAAACCTTCTATTTGAAGAATCCGATTGCTGACACTCTGTCAGCCTTGAGCAATTTAAGATATGTGACGTCATACAAAATGGCCGCCAAAGTACATGATTTTTCTCTAAAAATGTATAATAAATATATAATAGGGCTTTTTCTACAATTTTGGGCAGCCAAATGTCTGTATCTCTCTAGGACCATCACTAAAAATTGTTTCGTGATGTTGCACGGCCATAGATGACAAGCTAATTTGCATATTTTGAAATAGCGCCCTCTATAAATATATTAATTTTGCATAAAAATAGGTGTGCCAGCCAAATGCCAATTTCTTATTTCTCAATGGATTATGACTGCCTAAACCTTCTATTTGAATAATCCGATTGCTGACACTCTGTCAGCCTTGAGCAATTTAAGATATGTGACGTCATACAAAATGGCCGCCAAAGTACATGATTTTTCTCTAAAAATGTATAATAAATATAAAACAAGGATTTTTCTACAATTTTGGGCTGCCAAATGTCTGTATCTCTCTAGGACCATCACTAAAAATTGTTTCGTGATGTTGCACGGCCATAGATGACAAGCTAATTTGCATATTTTGAAATAGCGCCCTCTATAAATATATTAATTTTGCACAAAAATAGGTGTGCCAGCCAAATGCCAATTTCTTAGATCTACGTGACGTTAAACACATATTATATGCTTCGTATGCATGCAATAATTACGATTGTGCTGCATTTATCTTACATATTTTTTGGTCTAAATTAAGATACATGTAAAGAAACCAAGATCTACAAGAGAATCAGTAAGAAGTGATTTTACGGTACATTATTGTTCCATTCATAGGCTTTATTTAGACCAGCATTGATCCAGCGTCAGTGAATGATGATAAAGCATTTGACATCGGTACCAGACAGATGCATGAGTTTTAACAGAAGATACCTGGTGGATTCTATGACACAATTTCCAAGAAAGTCTACAACGGGTACCTGACAGAAATTGTCAGCCCAGACACCAACTGTAAACCAAAGTGTTTCTGGAGTTTCATAAATGGCAAGCGATGCGATGCTTCAGGGTTGGCTCCATTGAAATAATCTAATGGAATTACTTACTCAGATAGCCTCTCAAAGGCGAACATTCTAAGTAATCAGTTTTCATCCATCTTCAACTGCAATGAAGATATGACTAGTCTGAGAGACAAAGGACGAAGCCCCTACCCAACCATGGATCACATTACTATCTCGCCACCAGGTGTTCTGAAGATCCTGTCTGAGCTTGATATTCATAAAGCCACTGGTCCTGACCAAATCCCAGCCAGACTTCTGACCACCAAACTGACACCTGTGTTCCCTCTATTCTTCCAAGCCTCCCTTAACCAGATCGTGCATACCTGATAAATGGAAGATGGCTATATATATTGATCCCATCTTCAAGAAAGGTGACCGTAGCAAGCCAGAGAACTACAAAGCTGTCTCTCGGACGTCAGTAACCTGTGAAGTACTGGAGCACATAGTTCTTAGCAGCAACATGAACCACCTTGAAAGCCACAACATCTTGTCTGATGCACAACATGGCTTTCGAAAGAAGCGATCCTGCATCTCACAGCTTGTCCTTGCTGTCCTGGACCTTGCCAAAGGCATCAATGCTAGAGACCAATTGGACATGACACTCCTTGGTTTCTCCAATTCATTTGACAAGGTTCCCCATGGAAGGCTAGATGTTACACAAGCTCCAATTCTATGGAATCTGGGAACCCACACATGCTTGGTTTTCTGGCTTCCTGAGTTACAGGACCCAGCAGGTGTTACTGGAAGGACCCATCTCCAACACCAGCCAAGTAACATCTGGCATCCCGCAAGGCAGCGTTATCGGCCTGATGCTGTTTCTCCTCTTCCTCAATGATCTGCCACCGTACCTCTCCCCAAACCCAACAGCCAGACTCTTTGCTGACGATGGCATGCTATACAGCAACATCAAGACATAGGAAGACGCCTAACGTTTCCAAGAGGATCTTGACTCACTGCAACGCTGGGAGCGTGATTGGCTGATGGAATTCATCCCACATAAATGTCAGGTTCTACATGTCACCAATAAACGCAAATCCATCATCAAATTCACGGGCAGACCCTAGATGACAAAAATATAGCAAAGTATCGAGGTGTTGAGTCACAGAAAACCTCAGCTGGAGCCCACATATCAAAATTATCAGCAAATACTCCAACTCCACCCGTGCCTTTCTTCAAAGAAATATCCAACCATGTCCTAAAAAAGTTAAATAATTGTGCTACGATACTCGCCTTCAACCAATCATGGAGTATGCCATCATCATAATTATATGGGACCCTAACACTCAAACAATTAGCAATCATCAAAAAGCTTGAAATGGGTCAACGGCGCTATGTCCGCTCCTTCTGCAATGACTACTGCAGGACAAGCAAAGTAGAAGCCATCCTGAACCAGCTCAAGTGGCCAACATTACAAGAACGCAGGGTACAGGCTCAGGTGGTGATGATCTTTCGCATCAACAACCCGCTGAAAGACTTTTCACATACTTTCCTCACTCCATCAACATCCCTGCACAGAGGGCATTCCAAGAAGATAATTGTTCATTTTGCCTGAATGTTTGTCTAAAAGAGGAGCTTCTTCCCGGATACAATAAGACTCTGGAACTCCCTCCCTTTGAACACCGTCAATTGTACCTCTTTTTTAACTGCTTCAAGCAAGATTTTTTTGCTGTGCAGCTCCTGCTATGACTAAACAGTCAAATCCTAGAGAGGCAGGTCCTGTTGCAGTTGCTGCAGACAAATTTCATGTGTGGCTGTGCTGTTGAAGCCGTGGCTAGCTGCCGTCTTTGTTGCCTTTTCTCCTCCCACTGTTCTACTCTCTTCTGATCACTCCTCTGTATACATGTCTTCACAGCGCATCTCCATTTGGGGCAGTCTGAAGCATAGGCTTCCCATTTTGTAGGGTTGATTTCACTGGCCTCCATATCCCTCTTGCACACATCCATGAAGCGAAGGCCAGGTCTTCTAACAGTCCTGGTTCTGGTCGCTAACTTTCCCTACAAGATGTCTTTTGAAATGCGGCCGTCTTCCATACGACTGACATGACCAAGCCATCTCAGCCGTCGTTGTGATAGAAGAGCCTAGATGGTCATCATCCCTCCTTTTTGAGGACATCCTTGTTTGGAATGTGGTCCTGCCATTTGATGCCTATAGGATTCGCCTCAAGTAGCGGAAATGGAAAACATTCAAATGGCGCTCCTGACTTGCATACAGGGTTCACGACTCACTGCCATACAGGAGAGTGCTGAGCACATAGGCCTGGTAGATCTTCATTTTCGTGTTGGTGGTTTATAGTAAAGTGTTCTTCCAGGCCTGCTTTGAGTGTCTAGCAATCTTGGTTGCTGCCTTTCCAATGTGAACGTTGAGTTCGAGATCAAGGGAGAGGTTGCTTAATACATGGAGCCGAGGTAGGTGAAGTTTTCAACCACTTGGAGGGTGTAGTTTAATTAACATTGGAGGATTCAAAAGTCTATGACACCAAGTTGATCTACTCTTAGACTAGAGTAATAGGACTGCAGGCAAGTTGAAGATATGTCAATATCAAGAATATTTTGTCATGAAAGCTTTCACCAGGTCAAAGGCGAACTTGAAGAATTTGACAAAGGTTGACGTGTCACTTGAGCAACCTTGTACAGCCCGTTTGATGGTTGTGCTCTACTCTGGATTAAAATCTGATGATCTTTGGTTGGTGTGCCACCAGGGTTTCTAGAAGTCATGACGAATCGAGAGTCATCCAAAAGAGTCTTCCTTCCCACCTCACTGCTTCCCTCCCAGAAACTACTGACAACAAACTACAGTTGATCGACATCATAATACCGGTATGCGTGATTCTGCAGAATGAGGAGGTGTTCAGAAATAGGCAAAAGCACAAGCTGGTCATTACCGGTCAAGATGAGGTATCTGTTGAAGTGATACCAGGCAGCGATGTCATGCCAAGGGAAGATCTTTCCATAACACATGAAGAAGCAGACAACATCATAGTACAGCAAGCGATTCAAATTGCTGCTAATGAGAAAAGGTATGTTAGGGTCCTGGCTGTTAGGGTTAGGTTATCTACACAAATAACTTAGAACGCCAATGATCATGGCGTCATCAAAGAGCGAACTGTTATTGACATTCCTGCCACTGTAAACAAGTTAGAAGATATCATTCCATTGATGTTGGCAGGACATGCGTTGAGGGGATGCGACACTATTTGGGCATACTTTGGGATTGAAAAGGGTACATGCATTGCTGAAAGTGATGAAGCAGAAGATTTGACTCCCTTTGGACTCAGTTGGCAAGAGAGCTCATCTGCAAACATGTGTGTGTAAGCACGCCTTGCAGTCACGACCCACATCATTGGATCCTACAAAGTATGGCTATGCAAAAGAAGAGAAAACCAAATCCCTGATCCCTGTCACAGTACTTACAAATGTACAAGTCGCACCGGACAACATATTAAGGTTAATACGGTGCACTTGTGCGAGTTGAAGCCTATGTAAATCATCACGGTGCCAATGCAACAAAGCAAAACTAGCATGCACAATTTTCTGTGGTTTTCGCGCCTCTGTCGAGTGTTATAACGATCAAACTAAAGCAGCAAATGATAGCCATTGGAAGGTAACCATGTTTGGTCATTTTGGGTGGATATTTCGCTTTATTGAACTCCCTTGTAAGAGAGGAACCTTTTCATGATAGGTTCATATAAAAGAATGTATTACCTCAAAATACAAATCAAATTTCGGAATGGTGTCACTGAAAACGGGCATTTATAACCATATGGTACCTCATATCTATGGGACAGCTCATGAAATTCTAGCTTGTTTTCTTCAAGTATTAAAGATAACGACCAGTTATGGTCATGCGATTGCATTGTGAAAGAAACGTTGTGGAATCAATCAGAAAAGGTTGATCATCTAGCTTATAAGTATTGGTGTGTACTGCAAGGTTCTGGAATCATCAAAACGATTAAAATTTGGCCCAGTCTTGGTAAAGTTACAAGCACTGTACACAGAAGGATGTATATTGGACTACACGACACGTGCGCGATATCTATCAGGTCTAAATAGATATACTAATTTACCACATATATCAATTAGTAGGCGGTTTCTCGGCAAAATTTGTATCATCACGTATTAGTCAAAACATATTCTTTCACATGATTGGTGATAAGAGCTTCCATTTCATTTTTTGAGAGGGGGGCGTTTCCAAAACTGATCTTTACCTTTAAAGAACAAAATAACAAACAAAAAAATGTGGTGCACAATTTTTACTTATTGTATTCAGTGCGTCTGACTTATAAAAAATGTTAATTTCATGTTAGAAATTGGCATTTGGCCATCATTTAGAATTTGCAAATTAACGTGTCTATAGAGGGCGCCAATCTGAATTATGCAAATTTACATGCCATTTTTTATCATACAACATCGTCAATTTTTATTTAGTGATGATCCTAGAAAAAATCAAGATATTTGACTGACATTTAATGTAGCAAAATACTGTAAACAATTTTTATATCATTAATTTTGGTAAAAAAGGGTATTTTGGCGGCCATTTTGTGTGACGTCACATATCTCAAATTGCTCAAGGCTGACAGAGTGTCAGCAATCGGATTCTTCAAATTGATGGTCTAAGGAACTATAATAAAAAAAACAAAAAACTATAGACCCTAAAACAAGGTATATCGTGATGGCTGCCGGACTAATAAGTCCATGTGCATAGCTGCCAACTGTTACAAACTATATTGTAATTGTTAAGAATTTCCCACCCTCGTTACAAAATTACGAATACCCCTTCTGTTATTACGAATAAAACAAAAACAAAAAACGGAAAATTAAATGCCCATTCTGTCCTGTAAAGTATCCTACAAGAATCTCACATATGGGCAACTTGGGGATGTTCATCGAACACACGTACCAGTCATGACGAAATCATGCATATTCAACCAATGATTCATTAAAACAAAATTCTTCCTGTATGTAGGAACTGTAAGAGTGTTTTTTTGAACTGATCCGTGTTTTTTTGTTGTTATACGTACAATTTTTGTCAGTAAGTTACAACTTTTGGGATTGAAGAATTCAGTTTTTGAACTCCAAAGGTTGGCAGGTCTGACATCGATCAGATGTGTGCTTCGTGCACATGATATTCAGTTTTACTTAATGTTACTAATTGAAAATTCCAAATGTTGACAGCTATGCATGTGGGACAGTTTGACCCCCCCCCCACCTACTCAACCAAGGCCCTCAAAATGTGGTTTCCTCATCTGATATGGATCGCACTAGGCTGAGAAATGTCCCTCGTGAGGCCAATGTCTTCATACGTCACTGTTATAAGCCTACTTTAATTTATGGACAGCTGGAAAGGAAAAATTCTTTAAAGGGCAAGTCCGATCCAAGAACATCAGAATTGTTTCAATAAATTTAGAAAGCCTGAGGATTATTGGACATCTGATGAAAGTACTATGGAAATTCTTTAACAAATTGTCAACTTGGTCAACTAAAACAATCAGTGAAGAGGTAGATAATGACATCACAAAATCATGGCCTAATTTCTAATTGTCAAGAGATTTTCCTACTTTTCCATAGTTTTTCAATGTCGGTGGAAAACAAATTAAAACGAGGAGTCCAATTTTCATCAATTAATTTAATTTTTTTTTAATCTGTTTTGTCTGAATTTTCTGCTTTTCTCAGTATGTAATGAAATCAAGCTACCCTGGGTTCGGATTTTACCCTTTATTTAGATATGGTTTAAAATTGGTTTGTAATTACCAATTACAACAACAAAGCCCAGTAATCATCAGCGACCAAGCCAATATATCATCGACGGCTCAAGGTAGTACCACCTCTAGCGAGACAGACCCGGATTCTTGTTCTGATCCACTAATTGATGGTAGTGCACGGGTATTGTCCATGACTCGTATATTTATATCATGTGCACGAAAAACTCTTATTTTCCTTTAATTCATTAAAAATCAAAACAAGTTGTCCAATTTTCCTCAATTAAAATTAAACGAAAAAAATCTGTTTGATTCTTTTGCTTCTACATGTATCTATCTAAGTATCTTCTCCCGGTTCGGAGGTTGATTGCAACATCTGTCCATTCCACTCTATCTTCTGCCATTCTGGTGCACTCTTGCAGTTTTAGTCCACTCCAGTTCTTGACATTCTCTTCCTAGTTGTTTCTGGGTCTCCCTCTAGGTCTACTTCCTTCCACTCTTCCTTCCAATACATCCTTTAAAAGGCATTGGTGCCTTTTAACATGACCTAAGTATTTGATTTTTCTCTCCTTAACTAATCCTACTAGTGCAATTTGTTTACACCCTGCCATGTGCAATATCTCTTTGTTGGTTTTCATTTGTTTCCAGGATATTTTCATCGTTCTTCTGGAGATCCATATTTCAAAAGATGTTATTCTATTTTCCATGGCCTTGTTTATTGTCCATGTTTCTGCTCCATACAACAGGACAGATTTTTTCATTGCCAAAAATGTATTCCGAGCAATTTCTATTCTTCTTTTTATTTCTGCTTCGCATCTGGCATCATCTGTGATATTTTGTCCTAAGTAAATGTAATTACTGACTTGCTCAATGATATGTCCATCAAGTTTTAAACATATTCTAGGCTTATTCTCTGTTCTACTAAAAGTCATTGACTTAGTTTTCTTGACATTCATGCTTAGACCAAACTCTTCACTTTTGACTTTTACAATAACCAATACATGTTGTAAATCTGCTTCATTCTCTGCGCAAAGCACAGTGTCATCAGCATAACGTAAATTATTAATATTTACACCCCCAATACCAACACCTTTCATATCTGAAATTTCCCTGAATACCAACTCTGTGCACAAGTTGAACAGAGATTTTACATTGTTACATGTAAAAATCTCATTTTGTGAATGGCTTGCATCCATTTCTTTTAGCTGTAAAAAGTGGATTATTCAGGAAGATCTACAAAGATCTTTCAGATTAATCAGAATTTATCTCTGTGAATTTGTTAAATGAGGTAGCCTCTTTATTATTGACAATCATGCATATCCTTTCACTCACAGGCATCACCAAGTACTTCTACTCCCTTGGTCCCTAATTCTTCTCATCATGAAACTAGAGACGAGGTAAATATCGATGTTACATAATACATGTTGTAAATCTGCTTCATTCTTTGCGCAAAGCACAGTGTCATCAGCATAACGTAAATTATTAATATTTACACCCCCAATACCAACACCTTTCATATCTGAAATTTCCCTGAATACCAACTCTGTGCACAAGTTGAACAGAGATTTTACATTGTTACATGTAAAAATCTCATTTTGTGAATGGCTTGCATCCATTTCTTTTAGCTGTAAAAAGTGGATTATTCAGGAAGATCTACAAAGATCTTTCAGATTAATCAGAATTTATCTCTGTGAATTTGTTAAATGAGGTAGCCTCTTTATTATTGACAATCATGCATATCCTTTCACTCACAGGCATCACCAAGTACTTCTACTCCCTTGGTCCCTAATTCTTCTCATCATGAAACTAGAGACGAGGTAAATATCGATGTTACATAATACATGTTGTAAATCTGCTTCATTCTCTGCGCAAAGCAGAGTGTCATCAGAATAACGTAAATTATTAATATTTACACCCCCAATACCAACACCTTTCATATCTGAAATTTCCCTGAATACCAACTCTGTGCACAAGTTGAACAGAGATTTTACATTGTTACATGTAAAAATCTCATTTTGTGAATGGCTTGCATCCATTTCTTTTAGCTGTAAAAAGTGGATTATTCAGGAAGATCTACAAAGATCTTTCAGATTAATCAGAATTTATCTCTGTGAATTTGTTAAAAGAGGTAGCCTCTTTATTATTGACAATCATGCATATCCTTTCACTCACAGGCATCACCAAGTACTTCTACTCCCTTGGTCCCTAATTCTTCTCATCATGAAACTAGAGACGAGGTAAATATCGATGTTACATAATGAGAATTTCCAAAGTTTGTTGTAAGTAGGGATATTTTTTTGTATACAGGCAGCACAAATGATAAAAATATATACACAAGTGGTCTTAGTAAAGCTAGACACACAAATTTGGAATTGTATCCGCCTCTACATGAATGAATGAATACATGAATACATCAATAGGAAGTACGTTTCTTTAAATAAAGAACCACAGGCCCACATCAAGCAATTGTCCTTTCCATATCCAGGATTGTCTCAGTAATTTTGTATGAAAATATACCATGCACTGAGAGGCTCCAGTTGAAATTATGGATTCCCTGGCGTGACTGACAAAGTACTCCCCCCTCATTAATATTCACCACGTCACCCACCGAATAGGATCCATAATTTTACCGAATCCTAAAAAAGAGGACGTGGTATGTTTGAATTTACATCCCTGATCTAAAGATTGAAATTTATTAGGTTCTTTAATACTTTTTTTTTAAATATGAAAATGTTTCATATCCTTCCTAAACTTTATGAGAGTCTATATCTACTGAATATTTTTTATGTGACTTAGAAATTTGGAAAATAATAACATGCATTTCTTATGCTACGTTTACACTATGTTCCTGGCGGCAACGGCAACATGTTTCAGGCCACCGTGGACGAAACAGGATGAACGTGAGACAACGCGGGGCACGAAACGGGCAAACGTGACAGGCCATGATTGCCGTGGATGCCGGGCCAGATTTTTCAACTGTCAAAAAATTTGCCATGGCAGTCACGGTGCAATAAGAAACCTAGTAGGCCCTAGTAAAACAGGATGAACGTGACAGTACGTTATAGGCCGTCACAAAACTTAGAGGCGGTCCGTAGTGGGACGGGAAGCCTGTGTATTCCCGGCATCTCACGGTCCTTTAAGTTTTGTCACGTTCTTGCTTGACGGCTGCTGTGCGTTTTGTCTCGTTTTGCCACGTTTTTTCATGGTTCTCACGGCAAGATAGGTTGTATTGTAGCCGTTTCATCACGTTCAATCACTCTCTGCGTGTGACGGTTTACGGCCAGGTGCTACAGCACGTTACGATCTACTACATTCTGACGTTTTTTCATGTTTTTTCACCACGTTTCATCATGTTCAATCACTCTCTGCGTGTGACGGTTTACGGCCTGGTGCTACAGCGCTTTGCGATCTATTACTGTCTGACGTTTTTTCATGGTTCTCACGGCAAGATAATAATAATAATAATAATAATAACTTTTATTTACCCAGGGTAGCCACTTCAGTTATGAAACTGATCTTCCAGCGGGCCCTGCATAACATAATATGTTATTACTACCCTTCTCCAATCTAATATGCTGAGCGCCTAGCTAGAAGGCAGAAGGTCCCATTGTTATAAGTCTTTGGTATGACTCGGCCGGGGTTCGAACCCACGACCTCCCGTTCATGAGACGGGCGCTCTAACGACTGAGCCACCATGTATTGTAGCCGTTTCATCATGTTCAATCACTCTCTGCGTGTGACGGTTTACGGCCCGGTGCTACAGCGCGTTGCAATCTACTACAGTCTGACACGGCGCGCCGTATCTGGGAGAGAGTATATGAAAGCCGGGCCGAGGAAGGGGAGTTTCATTCGAGTCTGAGCAATCGACGACACATTACTTTACAATACAGAGAGAAGACCAAGCTTTGAAAAAAGAAGGCCAAGCTATGAAAAAAGAAGACCAACCTATGCCACCGAAGAAGACAAGACGTACGAAGCCCCCCCCCCCCCAACTGGTCCTGCACCACCACCACCACCACCACCAGTAGACTAGAGGGGCAGGAGCAGCCTGAAGATCCTCGTCGTTCATCGACGCCAGCTGAAGAGGATTTCTATTGCTTGGGAGGCCTTCTTCTTATACCGTGGGCACAAACGTGCTCCAAAGCTGCCTGGTGTCCACGTTTCATCTGTAGAAAGCCTTGCAGGAATGTGACAAACGTGTCAGACCTTGATCAGAATGTGAGGGAACTCTTCAAACCGTGATGGGCTGAGATGGAACGTTCTGGCATCCTTGGTAGACCGCAGGCCAAACTGTAGTGCGCCTTGGAGCCTCCGGGACTCAGCATTCCCTTCCCGCCACGGCCCGTCACGGATACCGTGATAGACCTTGAGAAAACTTGGCAAGACCTAACAAATCTTGAATAAAGAGATAAAATCCCACGGCGTATTACGTTGTGGGCAACATAGTGTAAACGTAGCATAAGGCTGAGATTAAGATTGGGGAAAAATACAAATTTTGCCATTTTCATTTTCAAACTTTGCTTTGAATAATTCGTTTTAATATAGGATGGGTAGTGAAAATGTGGCAATATTATTGGTATAGTATACCCCTGATATCATGAAAAAATGTCGCTATTTCTTTCATTCTTGTGGGGACTATTTTATGTCACATGAGCCATCCCTGTACAGGATTTTTTTTTTAACATCGGGTATAATTTAAAGTTTTTTCCATCTACGATGACAAATACCTTGTGGATGAGGGCATTTCATTCTCAGAGGCTCGACTATATCCCTTTTCTTTTTTTTAATAGGAAGGTACACTCACCAATATACCCAGCTCAGATACAGATGGCAGCGATGAGGTAAACGTGGATGACAGACCAGAAGAAAGTTCAAATGCATCCCAGGCATTGGTAAGTACACTCTTATCATATGCCTACCTGATTTAACTTTTTTTTTATCATTTGCCCTATTTGTTAAAGCTACTTTATAATAATAATACATCAAATCTTCTACAAGGAAAAGGTTGTCACAATTATCAATATTTGGGGAAAATGTAATGCTATTTTCACAAACATATCTGTCATTTTTATATTGCATCAATTTGAAACAGAATGGCACATTGAAAATCAAAGCGTCAGTGCAGTCATGGGTAGGACATTGGGTGAACAAAAATAAGAAGAGCTGAAAAAGTTAATAATGTTCAGAAGACCCTGTTTTTAGTATATCATCAGATGGTTGAACTAACCTACATGTATACCATATTGTCTGCCTTATGTTACAGACCTCAGAAACAGGAGAAACAGGAGAAACACAACTGCCGCTTGTAGGACCGGTGCTAATAGATGATCTGCATAGGGTGTTTGCCACCAACAAAGAACACCAAGTCGGGAATCGCATGAAAAAAGTCTTAAATTCTCTTATAAAGTTGAGTGAAGGAAACGATGGCAAATATTCTGCATCTTTAAAGAAGGTAGTGAATTTTACTCCTAATCTAAGCCCTATTGATGACGTAATCCCTAGTGTTGAAAACTAACCCTTAACTACAAAAAAGAGGAAGAAACAGATCATAGATTTTCTTTCAAGTATCATTGTTATGTATTTAAAAAAATTAAAGTGAACATTTAAAAAAAAAACTTAAATTCGATTTTGTACCCACATTTGAGACTGTTAGTTTCTCGCATACCATTAAAAAAAAAAATCTTCATATATTGTAAATCAGCCATTAGGCCTTTACAAAAAAAATGTTGTACTGCCCTTTAGGTGCCAAAACAAAAATGGGATGGTTGGTCGAAAATCTTTCTTTTTTTTTTTTTTTTTTTTTTTTTACTCCTTCTTTGGGCTGATATTTTTCAGTTTTGGATGCTTTAATACATTTTTTTCTCTAAAAAAATGTAAAAAAAGAAAAGAAAACTGACTGTAGATTTCAAGATTTTGGGGTTGGTCGCATATGGCAATACAACATCTTTTTTTAGGCCTTACTATAGAGATATTTTTAATACCCATGCTTATCTTAGTCTAGATGTGTCAACAATCTTTTCTTTTGTTTTCTTTCTCTCTATTGCTCCCTATATCCCAGTGTCTTAATGACGTCCCAATTGATGTTCTTGGAGATGTTGAATATTTTCTTGTTAAACTAGATGATATTCCTGTCGGCAGATTAAGAGACATATGTGAAATTCTGCTGACAATGCCCGATATCCAGCAAAAGGACATCGTAAGATACAATTTTAGTTTCCATATCTCTTTTTATTCCATAGATTTATTTCACCCCAGCTACAGGTCATTGGGACACAGAATATTTTGCCAACCACAGACACTACATAGTCATGGTGGTTTCCCTACCGATTGGAGCTAAGGCCCAGTAAAATTGATTTTTAGTATTTCATCTGGAATTCTAGAGAATGCGGAGGGGATGGTTCATGTTTTTTAATATCCCCAGGGATATGTGAGTTTAAATGGATACCCCATCTAAGAGGGCCCTTTGAAGCACTGCGAGGCACCGAGAGCCTTTTTTTCCCCTATCATAATCCCCTTAATCCCCCTCCCGGACCGCACAGCTCGTAAATCTCACTCCCGAAACTGAGTGACATAGGGCTCGCGAAATGCATTGTTGGAAATACACATCGGCTGCTATCAACAAAAATGGCGGCATACAGTAGGGATGAGTATTTGCTATGCGACGATTTAGACTTTCTGACTGGTTTTGAGGAAGATTTAATTTATGGGAAGTTGGAGACCAACACAAGTTTAATATGCACGTGTGAAATTCCATCAACGGAAAATCTTAATCGTTGCAGCAAACCAGAACGTATGGTTAAATGGTTTCATCGTGAATGCGTAGGCCACTCCAGCAAAACATAGATAGTTGATGCGTATTGACTACTAGCACTGCAGTACGTGTAAATAGGCAGCATTTGAATATATGAATAGTCAATACACTCACGACATACAAATGCACATAATTATACCGATGCAGTTGATCGGCAAGTTTGACAGTAGACTCACGATTTTTAATTTTTAAATTATTCTTTCTAACATCGGAAAGTTAAACAAATTGTATTTTAATGCTCTTTAGGTGTCATCAATTGTCACTAAAGTACTGACTTTGAGTGAAATCGGTTGAGTTTTGTACAGTGGTGTTTGAAATGTTGAGAATCAATAGCACAATTTTTAATATACGGCCAGGGTAGTAATGCAGCTATGTGTGTTTCCTCCCACAACATGCAGCATGTACAGCCCAGCGAGCACGGCGGCTTGCGCGTCGCCTGCCCGTACTCGGGGTGAAAAGTGGTGATGAATTGAAAACTTCTAACCCTCATTAAACCAAATGCGCAAATATACAACACAATTTCATTTAGTTATTTTAAGAGATAAACTTATGGACTACCTTCCTAGCTATGTAAAAATTTCGGAAACTTTCGGAAAATGTCAATAATTAGAAGAGAACACGATGATGATGAGAAACTTGCATTCACTCTAACTCACGATTTCCTTGGTCGATTTCGCTGGTTCAGATGGCTACGTCTTCAGTAGAGTTATCCGAACACAGCGAAAGCATTTGATAACCAATAGAAGGTTGTATTGTGCCATAAGTTGTCGATTTTTTGTATTTTATATGTTATAGCTATATACATCTTCCATGAGTATGACGTCATTTTCTCGGTGACTCGCATGGCTTCAAAGCCTTCTTTTTACGACCAAGTGTTTGGAGAGCTTAGGGAAGCAGACCGTGTTGCGTAACATTTCGTAACATTTGGATTGCCAGAGGGCATCTGTGGTCTGATAAGGGCGGCTGTTGATGGATTTGATGGCTGAAGAGGGTTACATTACTTGTTGTAAAGCCAAGATAATCTTGAATATCTTTCCCTCGGGAAATTCTTTCGAGACGGAATATCCATTTAACTCACATATCCCTGATATCCCATAATATCAAGAATGAAATTGTTTCATTTATTATTTCTTCATTTCAGGGAACTAAAGAGGCTAATAACAAGTTAAAACTCGTCTATATCATTCTATGAAAATAATGTTGTTAGTTTTATTGTTCAGCGACAGTGGCGGATCCAGGGGGGGCCCGGGGGGCCCGGGCCCCTCCCTTGAGAAAAAAATCATGTAAAATCACGTGATTTTTACCTTTTTTGGGGTTGGGCCCCCCCCCCCCCCTGGCGCTCAAGGGGGGGGGGGGTGCAAATTGAATTTTTTTTTGAGGATCAAAAAAAAAAAAAATGTGCCCCCCCCCCCCCCCCCCCCTGAGCGAATTTTTGGCCGGCGCGTTTTTCAAATTTTCGGGAGCAAAAAAAAAAAATGTTGGGCCCCCTCCCCTAAGAAATCCTGGATCCGCGCCTGTTCAGCGATATATATATATATATATATATAAAGTTGTATTTATGCAAGTATGTATAAATGTATATGTACATGTATGTATGCGTGGATATAGTATATACATGTACATGTATATATAGAAAGATTCAACACAAAATAAAAATACTTGGTTGACAATGTAGTGGTTCAACAAATTCTGACCAAATGGCTTCTTCATTGAGTACAAGACATGCACACAAAAATGAAACACGCTTGTTGTCGAGGCAATATGCGCAAAATCTTAGAGAAGCAAATTAAAGCCGGAGAAGCCAAAAAACGGAGAGAGGGAGTGGATACTTTGTTGCACCATTACATTGTTAACAGAGTTTTTAAATCTCCTCAATCTCAGAACAATATCTTAGATATATAACATTCTTACAAAATTTATACATCAACATCAATTTGGTGTTGACTACTGATTAAAGTTTGTTGATTTCACATTCAAAATAATTTGTTGTAATCGATGGGGCATTTTTTTTTCTCATTTTTTTCATTTTGTTGTTTTGCCAAATTATTTAAAACGTCCTACATGGATTAAGAAGAAATGACATGTAATATTTACTAGCTCTAACTTTGTTTACTTTCTTACTTTTATTTTTCAGTTTTCGGAATATGGTCAGAAAGACCAGGAACGAAGGACATCTTTATTAGAAGGTCAAATGAGATTATTACTAAGAAAGTGGGAGAACAAAGACGCTGCACGTAACTACATGTCTGGTCTCATATTACATGCAACTATGGATCATTCAGTGTCTGCATCCTTCAGCCAACAGGCCCCTTCTAGATCCAATCAATTGACTAATGAGCCAGAACAGGTTTGGACAACTGAATAATAGCCATTTAATTTGGGACTCAAATGTTGACACAGTCATCTGATTAGTATATGGATATCGACTGCTTTGAGAGGCCTGGCTGTTTTATAGGCTCAAGGGAACGTGCACATCCTGCCATGCCCCTCGGCGTGCCTGGGAACAGCCAGACCTCGAATATTAAATCAGTCAATATGTCTTTAATATGCCAAATTGAAACAAAAATCTACCAAGAATTCTTACCTTATCCATTTATTGAGTAAAGATTGGTTGAAAGATCACAGAAAATCTGAGACACTGATCTGTAAATCTTCGCTGGAAAAATGACTGAAAGTTTCAATCATTTGGGAATCGCAAATAAAAAGCACTGTATGGTGTCCGCGCTCGCACAAAGACAATTTTAACACATACACCAATGGGGATTGCAGCATGAGGGCATTTTTTAAAAGACTATGGACCGGTAGTCGGGAATGGCTAAAATCACGACTCCAATTTCGACCAATCGGATGGCTAGATTTCTAAAGTGAGGTTTATAAGACATGATATATATTTCAAAATTTCTATACCAATTGCTATTCCGTCCAGAGATGATGGCATACAGTCACTTGCACTGTTGCCCATGATGTTGGAATAATTGTTAAAATCTCTTTCATGTAATGATTGCGACAATATATTATTGATAGATAAAGTTTTTTATCTCTTCCGAAAGTTATTGATCAATCTCTGCCAAACATATCACAATAAAAATAAAACCACAGATAAAGTTTATTTCTTTTCAGAACTTTATTGACCAATCTCTTCCAAACTATATATTCTTGTTTTAACAAAATAGGGCTTGGAGGAATAAAAATATACTGTCTCGTTTCAATTTTCAATGTTGGTCATCTTAACGAAAACACATATAATCGAGGAAATTTCATGCATAGAAATGTTTCATATTGAACTTTCAAGTTTCACCCAGTCACTAATTTTGACTCATATTGAGCATGCCCCCCCCCCCTGACACAGATCAGTGAGTTCAGATGTGGTGGAATACTGTCCATGTATTAGCTTGTTGATGCTGTCAATGGAGAGGGCATCCCTCTTCAGTCAGGGCCTGGGCTAACTCCTGTAGAGTGACGAATACATCCCCTCTCATTGATTATCCGTCCTAAGGCACCCCGGCATGCTCGATATGGTTCATATCAGGGGAGCAGGCAGACCATGGCATCTGGAATTCTCTCACAGAAGTGGACCTATGTGGTCTAGCTTTGTCGTCTGACAGCTAAAAGTTATTTCCATCGACCCGTCTTGCGTGTGGAAGGTATCACCAAAGGCGTTTTTCCTCCGTAATGAATACCACATGACGTAAAGTCCTCGTAGCAAAATTGAAATACCCCCTTGCTGCAGACTTGGATCGAGGTATATTGGGAGGCCAAGAACCACTGATCCCTAGGTCAACAATGTGATTTTGCCAGTGATTGTTGCTGGAAGGGAGTAGAGAGATTGACAGATCGCCATAGTAACCACTGACCTAGAGGTCAGTGTTAGTAACCCTAAAGTGCCTGCACTGAGTTGGGCAGCCGAGCGGACGAAGTGTCCCCCTAATAACAATCCGCACAGAATTCAGAAATGAGTCCTCATTAAGAAGCAGAATTCCGTTGCAAGAGTATTCACTGTTAAAAAAAGTACATGTAATATAAATTAAGATATAACAAGCTTCTGACACAAGACAGAAAATCGTTAAATAGTGCAGTGTAAAGAGAACTTTCTTGTTATTATCAATGCGCAGGTGGTAAGGGGTGTTTCAAAACCCGAGTTGAGGACTTAAATTTTATGTATGGGGTTTTCAACCAGGAAAAACCTGAGGACTTGATTATTTGGGGGAGGGGGTGGCTTCTGGAAAGACATAATTAGTGATTGCTTAAATGAAAAATGGAGAATAATAAGAAAGTGAAATGCAAGAAGAAGTCTGCAGAGACTGACTATAGGATCGGCGGCCGTGCCATATAGGTAAAAGATAATAAAAAGACCAAGCCACTATAGACTGAGAAGGCGAAGAAGAAGAAGAAGAAGAAAAAGAAAAGAGCCGCGAACCGGAGAGACAGAGAGAGAAAGAGAAAGAGGAGAGAATTAACATTTCTGAGAGAGGGAGAGAGAGACAGAGAGACAGACATAAATAAACATGAGGAGAGAGGGATTGAGAGAGAGAACTAGGGAAGGGAGAGATAGATAGAAAGGAGAGGAGAGAGACTGAAGGAGGCAGTCTGAAAGAAACAGAGTCGAAGAGAGACAGAGAGAGAGAGAGAGATCGAAAGTAGAGTTGATCAGCTGGGCCTCCTCTGCAGCAAGCAAAGGGGGTATTTCAATACCCGACTTTATGGACATTTACTCGGGTTTGCGAGCTATGAGGGTCAGACGTAATGAGCCATATCATTACTGAGCTGCCACCAGCTTAATTTTTTTCATGGATGCAATCATTGCGGAGCAGACTGGTTCTCACCATAATCACTGACCCCTTTGTCTTCCATCTGTACCGTCAAGGATATAGCAGCTCTCTAGCTCCCTGGCACAGCGAAGTCGGGTAACTCTGTGTCGAGCAGTTAGGCATGGACACTCGGTCATTGGCCTTGCTTGGTTACCATATCAAAGCAATCTTCGATTAACAGTTTGGCTGGAAATGTTGATTCCATGGTGTCTCCTCCACAAACGACGAAGGCAGCTTGCTGGCAACTTCCATTTTTTTAAGACACAGATTAAGCAGTTGCCGATCATCTCTTCTAGCTGGCAGTCATTCGTGGTTGTCCTGTTTCATGGCCTCAAATTACCCTCCTCTCGATTATGCTTAAGGATTTTATAGACCGTACTCTGTGATATTCCAAAGAAATCATTGATATCGGCTTGTGTGTGTCCTTTGGAGGGCATACTATGTACGATCGACTATCTTTGGTATCCATCCTGTCAGAGTGCAAGCACTCTTTGGCACATTGCCAGTGAGACATTGTCAAGGGAGCTACTGTGTCAAACTTGGTTGAGAGTTATACAACCAATTCCTAAAACGTGGACCTCTTGCATAGAGTTTCTACGCAGGAAAAGGACAACACAGCAAATATCTTGCCTTTTATAGTGCCTAAAAAACAGCTAGCTTACGTAATGGAATGTTATGCATGAATGGTTTAAGCACTGGTGTTCTCAGCCATGGACCTGGGTTTGATGCCCCGCGGAGACATGTTTTAAACCTTTGCAAACATTTCCAAAGGGGAGGACAGCTATGGGGACTTGGATTTTAGCTAAGCAACCTTTGTTCTTCTCATTTCCTATCGTATTTTCTTTATTTCCATAAATGTTTCCAAACCTGATGTATCTTGAAAAACATTTTTCTCTCATTTCCTTTCGCATTATATATATAAATATATATATATATATATGTATACATGGCAATGCAAATAAAGCTTAATAGTTCTGTCAGTCAAATGAATATTGTATACCGGTACTTGATTAATAAACAGTTGAAAATTATAAAGCACGAAACTCAGAAATATTAATTTCTTCATTATAACCATACTCAAAAATTAATACCTTATCTTATGGCAACACGTGGACTCAATGTCAGATTATAGAATGTGAATGAAGGAGGACTTCTTCCCTCCTTCAGGTGAAGAACAGAAAAATGTCTACATATATTATATGGGCATATTTATACAAATACATACTAACATGCGTACATTTGCTTTTAGCCAAGTAAAGGGGGATTTTCACTCGACTGTTTTTATATGCACAGAGAAGTATTACAATTTCATAATATCTTTCATTTATATTATCATGATTGTGGGGGTTACCAAGTTTGTAATAATGTAATAATGATTCCGATATTGTTATTTTACAGACTTTGTCTCTTTTCAGGAGACCGGCCTTCTGTCACAACCTGAGGAAGACCTTATAGGATTTTGGATGAGTAAGGTGATAAAGCTAGACCCGACAGTCCAGGAAGGATTAATAGAACAGTTCAATACAGATCGTTCCCGCATGGTAAATCTTATGCACTTTAATCAATTACGATCAATACAACAATGGCATTGAAAATATTGTCATAAATCAGAATTGTGAAGTGCCTGTGACAAATATCCTGAGATATGACTCTTGAATGTTTTCTTTGTGCAAACCAAATGAGTACAAAAAATAGTAACTGATTGAAATATTGAACGCTTCACAATACTTTCAAAGAACTTTTAAAATCATGGAAATAATAACAATAATTATCATTTTATAATAATATTCATAACAATATAAAATTTATGAGGAGCTTAATACAATGCTTCTCTAAGCGTAAAAAGGAAAAAAAGGAAATGAAAGGAGAGAGAGATACAAAATATCACTACTACTACTCAACTATTTTCCCTCATTCAGGAAAAACTTCTGGAATCAGGCTTGAATCGTCTTTCCATGGAACAACGAAATAGTGTAAGTACTTAGGCGGTTGCAATTGTGCACTTCTTTGATATAGAGGGTTTCAATACCAACACTTCACTGATACATGTGTTCAGTATAACCACAACGGTTTTGATAACCTACTGGCAGTGTGATCTATTCTTAAACAAAAGTAGGAAACTAAACATTTCAGTCAAGCCATGCCAATCATAATAACAGTAATGATAATATTAATAATGATGATAAAAATATTAATAATGGTGATGATAATAATAATGTTGATAATAACAATAATGACAATAATTATAACAATATTAATAATAATAGCAATAGCAATAATAGAAATAATAATAATGATAACATTAATAATGATGATGATAGTAATAAAAGTCATTATAAAAATAATATTAAATACCTTTGTTTCCCCAGGGAAGCCTCATTAATTACCATCAATAGAACAATGATCTTCTTCCAGAGGGTCCTCTAGTTATCATTAAACCAGCATTTGTGGCAAATGTGGATTTATATCTTGCCAAAGGACATTGGTGTTGGGCAAGGAATCCTGACACGGCACTAATATCCTTTGGCAAGATATTTACCTGCACTTGCTACTCTCCACCCAGGTGTTAAATGGGTACCCGGTAGGATGCGAAAGTTCATTTGGTTGGACGAGAAAGTGTGCGCTTGTAAAATGACGACTGGCTGGAATGCTCCCCGGGGAGTGGAAAATGTGCATACATTGTGTGCGGGTAAGCCTTAATACGATGACCGGGGTAATAATATATCTGTAAAGCCCTTTTTTTAGGCTCATCGTTGGATCGATGTATTGAGCGCTATAAAAACACAGAATATTATTATTATTATTATTAAACCCTTAACCATGTTGGGTAAACAACAACTTGCATTGCAGTAAAGAATGTGCAATATAGTAAGTAACAAATTTGTATGTTCGCTTTTTGTTTTTACCCAACAAGGGTGAAATCTTACACATCTCTCATTTTTAAAGTATTGAGATTTAGATGTGATGCCTCACTAAACTGTCAAATTAAATGTAGGTGATTTCAAGCGTCTGCCTCTAATTGTCTCCAATCCTAAAATAGCTCCAAGAATCACTTGCGTCAACGTCAACGCCAGGATCTCCAGAAACCATGAGACTTTTGAAGGATCTGATTGAATGGGTGAAAAAAATAGATTTATGATAAAGATATGAGGTATGTAAGTGTTTTTCTTTCCCCCTTTTCTGTCTACACTTAATGTAGAACTACCATACTACTACTAGTGGGCGGCAATGCCTGGGGGCCCGGCACATCCCCCCTCAATTTTTTTTTTTTTTTTGGGGGGGGGGGGGGGGGGAAGGTTCCCCCCCCCCCACCCCGCCTCCAGAAAATTTAAAAAAGTACCCCCAAAATGTAAAGCAAATACTGATTAAAGAGTAAAGACTGCAACACACTTTTAGGCTCTGGAGGGCCCAAGAGTGCAGCATTTAGACAAATAAAAATATAAACAATTTCTTGCATAATATCCTTCACAATGTACAGATAAATATTGTAGAAAAGTATATTGCTAAAAAAGTGTATTGCTTGTCTTTTTTTCTATAGTTTTGCTAAGGAATGTAATTTTTTAATGCAACAAAAACCTGTGAGGGGGTAGTCACTTCCGTCACCTTCGCGCCTCTCATTCACTATGCTCCATCCTACTGGCGTACTGATTGGGGGGGGGGGGGGGGCTTAGGGGCAGTTAAATTTAAACATTGTTTATATCTTATTCAATACCACATACTCTCTGTAGAAAATATGACACAAACTTGTACACAAATCATGGAAACAACTTGATATAAAAGCACAAACATGGAACTTGAAATATTGACATTTTAATCACGTCTAGTTATTGTTTGGTTTCATTTTAGCAATGCTTTGTATAACCATCGCTGATTGTTGCATTATTGAAACAATTTAAAGATTGTTATTGGGAAAACATCTACATCACTCTCAAGTTCATGTTTTATCCGAACAGACTCGGTTGTTAAATTTCAGAACGAATCATCACCATTAATTATGACCACATATATCTAGAATGTGTTATAGTGTGTATAATCTATATATTTACTATTTATTTTAATTTTTAGTATCATCAACAAATATAAAAGGGATGAAAGTGAGTTTATAATTTAATAAATCCAAGATTTAGGCGCCATATACTAAATGTTTATTTATGCACACTTTTTAATGTAATTTACTTCAAATAAAATTATAAAAAGACTGATTATACAGTGCGTCCCAGAAAAAAACGAAACCGAGAAGTATCGATGTTCTATTATAACTTAATCACAACTATAATTAATGAATGATACATATTTGGAAAGCTTAGAGTCTCTTTTCATAATTTTAACAAACAAATTCGTTTTCACTGGGTGCCTGCCGTAGCAAAAAGCAGATTTGACAAAAGACTTAACTCCGTTTCGTTGACAATCAGCCTGCATGAAGACTCTCGTCTACGGCTGATTGTCAACGAAACGGAGTTAAGTCTTTTGTTAATTTCGTTTATTGATACGGCAGGCAGCCAGTGAAAACAAATTTGTTTAATAAAATGATGGAAATGCAAGCACTACTCTAAACAAACATAACTTTGTTATTCCTGGCTCATTTTTGTTGATTGAGGTATCATATAAAAGAGCAAAAAATGAACTTTCTAGAAATATGAATCTTTCTTTGAAATTCAGATACCGCCCGCCAAATTACTTTTTGGTTTCCTTCCTTCAAATTGCTTTTAATCACTCATGCGTGAAATATGCATCACGTGAGTAGCATCAACTCAAAGAGGAGACTCTAAGCTTTCCAAATATGTATATCATTCATTAACTATAGTTGTGATTAAGTTATGATAGAACATCGATACTTCTCGGTTTCGTTTTTTCTGGGACGCACTGTATATAAATGTTTGAAATTCGTTTTAGAATTTAACCCTTCGCTTTCAATATTTATCATATTTCTATTTCTTCTCTGCTTCCATACAGAATAAATAGAGCGACTGGATTCCTGAAGTGAAGGAAATAGGTTAGAATTGTTATTATCACATGACCTATGCCATCCAAAATGTGTAAGGTCGTTAATGGGCAATCCAACCTTTTGCAATAAGTTTGTCTGTATGGAACTTGAAAACTAATTCAATAGAAACCGATTTGCAAAAGTTTTTAATATGCAATATATATATATATATATATATTGTGGCGGACACGGTTCGCCACCTTGGCTTGACACGGAATATTTGTCAGGATGCCCCGTGTCGGCCAGGCGCTCTCCGTCCGTTTGGACAAAGTATATGCCCGTAGCTTGATGGCTGGAGTTCTTTCACTGCTCACGTCACAGGGCGTATTAACAATCATGCATCCTTCGACTGCAATCGGTCACCCCAATCGTTGTGCACAGCAACAGTCAATTGAACATCCTTCGAGCAATCAATCAATCAATCAATCACCATGCTTTGTCAACTCCTGTCACTGATTCTCGATCTCAATGTCTAACTACGGTTTCACTGTTCTAAGAAATCAGACCAATCATGAGTTGCATGTTGAATTCTTTTAATGCGAACCAACCAACATTCAGGGTTAACTCGTTCAACAAGTACAGGTGTGGACTAAAAGTAAGACTTCAAGTAAAGACTAAGGCCAGCGCCAACTATAAGTAAGCCAGCCTCGGTGAGGCTGGCCTGTATCGGATACAGTGCAGTGGAAAGTCCTAATTACACAACCCTGACCATCCTAAAAATTTCCCTATACATAACCGTATAAAAGAACAATTATGTCCTCATTAGTAAAACAACACTTCAACACAACATTTCTACTAATCCCATAAAATCTTCACATATAATCTTCAGTATAACCCCTTATTCCTGATTAGATCACTACTATACAAGTAATATCCCTAAAAGAAACATGATAATTGCACCAACATGATCAAAATATGTAATTTATGCTCATTTTCCTTCAGTTTGGTGATTGCTAAATCAACGATGCACCATATTGCTATAGCGCATGCTCGTACAACAGAAAATACTTAACTTTCGTCCAATACTAAAACACTGATTTGTTACAATATATATATATATATATATATATATATATATCATGTATATCATGTATCTTGTATATAGTAGAAAATATATTGATTCACAATGGTAGATGGAATACACAAGAGGCATGGGTTTAACTTCACAATTGACTTCAATTTATTCTCATTAGGTGAAGTGAGCCTGATGAGAATAAATTGAAAGTTCAACCCATGCCTCTTGTTTACTCCATCTAGTGTTGTGAACTAATATATTTTCTACTATTTTCTTGCAGCATCTCATTAGACATTTTTCCTCTTAGCATTTTCAATATTTATATATATATATATATATATGTATATAAAACTATAACACATTGCTTTTAAATGTTTTTCTTGAATATGTTCATATTTTCTCTGCTTCTCCACCCCTGGCTTGTCAATCATCGCCCCACTGTGGATTTATAAATATAGATGATTATCTTTTCTGTTATGACTTTCACACAATATTGAGTTTCAACTTTCAAACCTTAAACCAATGAAATTTAGGAGTATCATGGGTTCAAATTTAATGTAAATTTGTATTAAAATTAGAGCCCCCGTGAGAAGGCTCACGTGGACAAAAAATTAATTTGAGCCTTGTAAGAGTATCTTTAAGTGTTTTGTACATATTTCTTAATACTGAAGTTCTTTCTGAATAGGCATCCTTTGCGCACTATCATACAGTCACTATTGTGACGTGATCTGGTTCCATGAACTTGGTAGCAATTCCGAACGACACGAACCAGGTCTCGTCTTATAAATCAGTCAACTCTCCCAGACAGTCGACTCTCACAACTCACAACTATTCAACGAGGATCTCAATCATGCATTCATCAATCACTTCAATCAAAGTAATATCCGAGACAAATAACGACAACTTACAATGATGTTTGATCTTTCAGCTTACTTTACTGCATTCCTTACTGCATCAATACAAAACACGGACTGCCCGTTCGCAGCGTTATCAAATCACTTATATCAATCTGACCAAAATGTCGCCCTCTTCAGGTTAAACACTGTAACATTCCGTCACACAACCCCCCACTTAGACTAGAACGTCCTCGTTCTAAACCTACCGAAACGACATTTTAAACATAGCTCAACAATATAGGCATTAAAAACATGTAAAACGGTTTTTACTATTAATTCTTGTTTTCCTAACCAATCTATAAGAAAGTCCAAGCAAATCAACGTAATAAGCTACACATTTGCCTTTTTCTCTTCTTCCTGTTATTTTTATAGATATATAATTATATAACACAAGTAATCACAAATACAAAGACATTGATCAACAATGTCCAAAATACGTTTGGAAATGTAAAGAATATCAAAACTTTTTTCTCATAAGATCACTAGTAATACTTAAGTTACAACAACAACAAAAAACCTGACCTCTAGTAGGCCTACCTGATTTAAGCAAATTGTAAACTGAGGCCTATAGTTGTAATCAAAACAGATCAAGTAAACCAGTAAGACTTAGTGTTAATTTAAACAAGTATGAAGCGGTCGAAGAACTCCTTCGTCTTTCTCGTACGAACTACGCGTCCTTCAATAGTAAAGGTCGTCGTAATCCTCTTCTCAACTCTCACTTTCTTGAAAACCGGTCTGTCTGTACGCGCATTTCCAGTGGCACCCTCTCCTCCACTCTCAGCTTCTTCCGACGAAGATGATGCTGATGACGATGACGAAACCACCTCATCCTGGGATGCGGCTCTCTTAAGCATGGCAAGAGGCTTGCCTCTGGCATCTCTGGAAGAATCAATACTAGGCACTGGAGTTGGATGTACACTTATAATGGCTGTGTTGTTTTCCTGTGGCTGGTCTCTGTCGTCTCTCTTCGTCTCCGGACAACGTCGATCTGGGGATTTTGCCCTTTCACCGCCCCGGCCCACCGGTTCTCTTTCTTTGCTCGACTCTCTTCTGGAAACCGTGCGCTGTTCGTCCTTTCGGTGTCCGTCCACGTGCCTTTCATAATTCCCCCGCCTGGTAGAGGAATAATCCGCGCAGGTCTTGCAGTTCCACTTCCGGGATCCATCCCGATGGTTCTCCCCGATATGGCGCATCAGGCTGCGGTGGTACAAGAACGTGGAAAGACATTCTCGGCACTTGTAAAGCCGGTCCCCATC